TTTTCTAGTGTGTCCTAGCCCATCATCGAACCTGCGGGATGGTTAACCTCATTCCAGTTTTGCAGATTAGGAAACACATTAAGTGCCACTGACCCCTCACTTCCCACTGCCTGAAGGCACCATGATCCTCACAGGGACCCTGCTGTGCAGACAGCCCAGCACCCTGATCAAAGGGCCCCGGCATGTGTGGGAAGCCCTCTGAGTGTGGAGAGTTCCCTATACCGAGATGCCATGCATCAGCAGGTTCCCGCTCACCCCAGGTTAACATCTCCCCAGCTGTGCAGTCTCCGGACACGCTTCCCTCCCTGCCAGGCACCCCCGTTCTTACCACCGAGTGTACTGCAGGAATTCAGGCACAGGGATGCCCAAAGCAACACGAGCCCACCGGCTGTACTAACAGCACACTCCCAGCCCCACCAGGGCTCCATGGGGTTAGTAGGTGTCCTTTCCTTTCATTTATGTAAGGCAATCTGTTTCTTCAGCTGGAGGCTATAGAGAAAAATAAAAGGTCCAAAACATCATTCAGTAAGGAATTCCTCCAAGGACCTGACTCCAGAGTCTACAACTATTTGTGCTGGTCGCTCCTACCCACGGACTTTGGGTGAGGTGGATTATTGATCAGCCCAATCGCTGGTGGCCCAGCTCCTGGCCTTGGCTGCCCAGAGGGGGATGGAGGAATGGGTAAGTCCAGGGCACTCAGGAAGATCACAGAGGACCTGAACTCTCCCCTCTGCAATTGTAAACCCCCAAATCTCAAGGCATCGGACAGAGTGCAGCCACCACAATAATGAGATGCTCCCATCTCTTCACTCACTCCTGTCGGTTCACTTACATGCTGAGCATCCACTGGGTCACAGAACATGACACACAGGATGTCCGATGGGACAGGCTTGGTAATTCCCCCTGGATCCTGTTCAATCTGATGGAAGAATGATCACTCATAAACGGTTTCTCAAAAGAATACATAGACAGAAGACAAACTACAGAGTGAATTAAATTTTAAAATATAAATGAAGATCCCCCAGTCTCCCCGCTTAAGGTTAACAGCATAAAGAAAATAGACCTTGCCTTTGATCACCAAAGAAGTGGTCACCCCCTCTCAGGGGGAAAGGAGAGTTATTCTCTGAGCAGGATACAGAAGTGCTCCATTGGATTGGACCAGGACCTCTGCATTCATTCAGCAAATCTGTAT